AGGGAGCGCGATGCGGGACTTGATCCCGGGACTCCAGGATCATGACCTGAGCCGAAGGCAGTCGCTTAACCAACTGAGCCACCCAGGCGCCCTGGAATAGTTATTTAAAAAAACCCAACAGGTTAGTAGAATATAATTCATGTACCATAAAATTCATCTTCTTAAAGTATACGATTGAGAGGCTACGATTCAGAGGCTTTTAGTATATTCATGGAATAATACAATTATCACCAATATCTAATTTCAAAACATTTCATCACCCCAAAAAGAAACCCAGAACCCATAAACAGTTAGTCCCCATTCTTCACTTTCCCCAGGCCCTGGGGACCACTGATTTACTTTCTATTTCTACTGATTGGTCTATTTTGCATATTTCTATAAATGGAATCATACAAGACTGGCTTCTTTTACTTAGCATGTTTTCACCCATATTATATCCTGTATCTGTACTTCATTCCTTTTTGTTGTAGTACTTATATGGATATATCACGATTTGTTTATCCATTCATCAGTTGGACGTTTTGGGTATTTACAAAATTGGGTATATACAATAGCTCCCACTATTTTAGGAATTAATGAGTCACATGGTAACTGTATGTTTAGCATTCTGAGGAACTGCCAAACTGTTTTCCAAAGTGACTGTACCATATTACATTCCTGCCTACAAGGCCAACACTTGTTATTGTCTTTCTGATTACAGCCATCCTAATGAGTCTGAAGTGGTATCTCACTGCGGTTTGATTTGCATTTCTCTAAGAGAAATGTTAAACATTTCTCCATGTGCGTCTTGACCATTTGTACATTTTCTTTGGAGAAATGACTATGCAAATTCTTAGACAAATTTAAAATTTTTTTATTGTTTAATTTTAAGAGTTTTTAAAAGAATATTGTGGATACAAGTTTCTTTTCAGATAAGATTTGCAAATGTTTTCTCTCATTCTGTGGGTCGTCTTTGCACTTGATGGTGTCCTTTGAAGCACAAGACTTTTTATTTTCGTGAAATCCTATTTATTTTTTCTTTGGTTGCTTTATCTTATGGTGTCATATGTAAGAGACCACTGTCTAACCCAAGGTCATGAGGATTATGTTTTCTTCTAGTTTTGTCATTTTAGCTGTTACATTTATGTCTATGATGCATTTTGAGTTAACTCTTGTATATGGTGTGAGATAAGCGTCCAAATTCATTCCTTTGCATGTAGAAATCCAGTTGTCCCAACACTTCGTTGAAAAGACTATTCTTCCCCAATTGAATGGTCATCATATGACCCTAAATATAAGAATTCATTTCTGGGCTCTCATTTCCATTCTGTTGATCTATATATCTATCCTTATGACAGTACAACACTGTTGATTATAGTAGCTTTGTAGTAAGTTTTGAAACTGGCAAAGCGTGAGTCTTCCAACTTTGTTCTTCTTTTTCAAGATTTTGGCTATCCTGGGTCCTTTGCCTTTCCATATGAACTTTAGAATCAGTTTGTGTGCTATACCTAACAAAAACATTTATTTCTCTTGCTTTTAAAGGACAAGACACAAGTTGAAATATTTGCATTTGCCCACAGCACAGTGATATGCTTATAAGAGAGACTACATATTATTATGAAATGAATGAATGAGAAAAACACAAACATCCCGAAGCCTACCAAATTATTCATATCTGGACTATACAGAGAAAACAAGTCCCAAATAAACCACAAAAAAACTCCAACTTAGCACCATTCACATTTTCCAGGCAACTTGAAGCCCTTCCCTATCAACAATGCTTTAAAACCCCAGTATTAAAAAATGCACTGAACTTCCACAATATGCTCTGCATTCCCTCAATCTTAAAAGAAATGCGTAAAATTTAAAGAGCAGAGGTTGCTACTTAAAATTTTAGCACCTTCCTTAGACACACATAGAAATCGCAGAGCAATCTAAAATCCAGGTACCCTATGCAAAATCCTAATAAATACATTCACACCTATGTAAGAGGCCAGTCCCCAGTTCACAATCCAAGAAATTTTAAAAATCTGTCCTTAGCTTGGGTGGGGAAAAATTCACCATCACCTTCCTACTTAGAAGTGTGTGAAGTATGTGAAGCAATATGCTGTTTTTCCAAACTTGCCTGAGCAGAAAGAAGAATCTCCTGGAACTTGATTCAAAATGGCTGGGGTAAGGCCTGAGAATCTGTATGTTTAACAAGAGCCCCAGGTGATTCTCATCAGGCAAGCATGCGAAACAGGAGCTTTCAGTTACCAACCTTATTTACACCTTCCTGTGGTTTGCTCTATACCACTCAACATCACCTGTTAGAGGTCAGAAAACAGACGAAAGCTTTTAGCAAAGCTCTCATTCTTTCCACGTTTTCTAAAAATAGCACCCCCACACCTACCTGATTTTGCCCACATCTAAAATAACATTCAAATGAAAAGGCTTTATGAAATGATATTAAAGTCATTTCTCCATCCACACAGGAACTAACAAGTAAGGCCTCTTGACACTGCTCAAGGTAAATTCTCTAACTTTTGGGACGGCGCACAGTTTACTAAAAAGTCTTATTCTATTACTAGTATTTGCTGTCAATCTTTTCATACAGGAGAGCAGGCATTAAACAGCTATTTTAAAAATTTAACTCTACCTATAAATATATAAAAACAATAAGCACATGACAGAAAACAAAAGAGCAACAACAAAAAATAACCCATGCTCCAACAGGATATTTACTCCCTTTTTCTTATTTTTAAAAAAATACTTAAATATTTAACTTCCTTTTAAATGGCCTCTGAATACTGAGGGGGGAAAACTGCCGATTTTACAGACACACATGCCTCTCTACCTAGCTTTGGGGCTAGTAAGAGAGATTCCTTAGAGGGGCCAAACCTTGCCTCCTTCCCTACACATTTTTTTAAAATTTACATTAAGTTTTTTTCCTCTTAATACAGAAAAAAAATAAGAAATTTAAATGGCCCATATGGAAGTGGATCTGTGGTTGCCTGGGGTTGAGGGTGGGGATATTACCTGGGAAAACGCAGACAGGAAAGTTTGGGGTTGATTGGGCATATTCTACATTTCACTTGGGGTGGTGGTTATATATGTGTATGCACTTGTCAAAACTCATTAAAACGCACACTTAAATGAGCATATATAAATTATACCTCAAAAGAGGTAATTAAAAAACACTTTATAACCCTAACATTTTCAAAGTAGTAGAGAAATGCATAAAATGAAAAGTGTAAGTCCCTATTGCCCCCAACCCCCTCGTCCTCAAAATAACCTCCAGCATCAGTTTCCTGTGTTGCCTTCTAAGAAAAAAAAATTTTCATGCACAAACCAGCTCTACAATGTATCTTCGCTACCCTCCTGAATATTTAAAAGCCCACCTGGGAATGACAGGACCTAGAAGAAACACAATTAGCTGTGGTTTCTTGGCTCCCTTAGCTCTCATGGCCCCCAAGCCCCGTCGAGGACGAAAGCAGCCTGAGCTGAAATCTCCATTGTCAAATACTAGTGAGGCACTGGTGGTATTTGCCCTTGGCTTAACAGGGCCTTGTAAGGACAAGCTCCCCTCACCCAGAGAAGTAAAACAGACAAACGGGCAGGAGATATGCAAAAGCCTCAGAGCAGGGCCTTTAAACTCTCTTTGGCCTCCCTCCGGGCTGTCCCAGCAGAACAGCAGGCGGTCCCAGCCCCTGGTCATTAGGCACACCTGTGCCGTGCCTAATTAGCTCCATAGGCTCACAGGCAGGAGCACCTGCTTGGGCTGGAGGTGTGGGCTGGCAACAAGGTGTCAAGGGTCCTTTTGGAAACAGAACTTGAGTTGGTGGGAGCACAAAACTCAAAGGCATGTTCAAAGAGCAGGATTTGGTCTGTGTTAACTTGACAAGTAATGTACTTTGTCCCATAGGATGCCACCAAAAAGTCATTTTTTTTTTTTTTAATAGATTGAAGCTGTGGTTCTCAAATGCCTAACGTCCCTGGAGGCTGTCACTCAGTGGATCTGGAAGAGGGCCGGGAAATTTGACTCTGAAATGGCACAGCCAGACATGGGAACCCCTGGCTTAGGCTGTCTTCCACTTAGAGGCTAGCCGACTGCAAGTCTATACCCAGACCCGCTCAGATCTCCTCCAGTCCATTCTCCAGGCAGCAGACAAATCTTACCAAGTTATGTCCAGCTCATGACTTTCCACTGGCTTTCCACTACCCCTGGGGTGAAGATCCAAGCCTTTCAAATGGCCTGTCGGATCCTGACTGCCTCCCCTCCACCCCACCCACCGTGCTTTCCCAGCCCTGTGTTATAGGCACACCTGCAGCCCTATAGGTCCTCAAACTCACCAGCACCCTTCTCACCCATCTTCTCCGCCTCTTTTTTACCTCCCCTACAGTGCTTACCCCTCTCCTTTTTCCCTTTCGCATAAACAGCTGCTCCCTCCTCTCCTTGCAAGCTGTGCGGGAAGGCATGTCCTGGAGTAATGTGGAAAACAGGAAGGGAGGGAGGAGAGCACTATCAAGTGCCATCCCCGTGCCCTATGCTCTTGGGTGTTTTCGCACATTTATCTCAATTTACTCTCATAAGCATCCTGTGACCTTCTCAGGGAAGTGTGGCTTGCCCAAGGTTCCACAACCACCCAGTGGCAAAGCCAGCAATCTGAGTTCTGTTCCTTCAGTCTCCAAAGCCTGGGGAAGAGAGCTGCAGAGCACGGGGGAGATAAAAAGAAAGGAGGAAAGAAAAAGAAGGCCATGAGAATTAAACAAACAAAAAGTCCTGCAAAAAAACACAAAAACTCAACACCTAGATGGCGGCTATCAGGGCCTGGGTGAATGAAATTATCTTCAGTCACTTATGCCTAGTTGGCTACAAAATAAATAGATCAGGAATAGAAAGGGGCCACTTCCATTCTGGGCTGCCACTGGCACTGTATACACGAAAGCGGAGTAAAAGCAGCCCAAGCTCTAGGCCCACCTTGCCTTGCCGGGAAGCGGAGGGCCAATGCCCCCAAACAGCCATGCTGAGCAGGCACAGTGCGGCCACAGTGGAGCCTGCTGCGTTGACTTCACACCAGTTTCCAGCAGACCTGGCAACATTTCTAGAGCTTGGAGTTTGCATAAATAAAAACGAACTCCACACTCCAAGAGGTTACTCTTGGACGTTGAAAAGTCTTAATCAAAATCAATGCCAAAATGAGGAGTGCAGCAGTTGCAACCCCCCAGGCACAGCACAGTCCTCTTCGTTTCAGACAACGGTGTCAGTGACTACCAACGATCCACCTCTCGTTACCGACTGGAGTCACCAAGGGCCAGAAGAACTGAGCTGGAAATGAGCCAGCATCATTCTTAGAAAAATCCTGCAGAATGGAGCTGGCTAATCTTTTCAGTCCTTCCCAATGCACTCATTGCTTCCAGAGTTTTATGAAGATTCTTTGTAACTCCCTTTTTTGGAGAGCACAGAAGCTCATTTCACCATTTTAATTAAAAGCGAAAGAGAAAATAAAACCAAAATTTACTAGTATCCCTTATGTGCCCAGAACTGTGCTAGTGCTTAGTAAATGTGATATAATCTGTATGTTAATTCTAGGAGTTTATTATATAATTATCCCCATTTTACTTGTATAAAACATGAAATTCAGAGAGGATTGGTAACCTGCCCAAGGCCACACAGTAACAAGTGACAAGAGCTGCCTCAAATCTTTTGTAAAAGAAGCTAAAGAATTAATGGATGAAAATGTAATTAAGAAGCAAACCTAGGATTCTAATCGGATCTATGTAACACAAAGCCTACAGGCTGCCTCCCACACAGGACCTTTCAAACAGGACGGCCTCATTAGGTGAGCAAAACTCGTGGGGCACAAGTAACATCCTTGAACTGATAAACTTATGCCCAAGTCTTCTGGACAAGACATGCTCTCTAAGACACATGTGAACTCTGGCACTATGTGTAATTCATCCCCTCTGTCATGCACCAAGGAAGACCTATCACCCTCTCTTCTTCTAGGGCTCCACACAGAAAGCACAGACATTGTCAGATCTTGTACCCAGATCCCTCCTTCTATTCGGGGGCCTCCCTCTGTAATGAGGTTCCACCACATCCAAATGGCTTGGGGGTATGGAAATAAATACTGGGTGCCCTTGTACCAGTTACTGAACTTCTCTGAACATCATGGTGCTTGGCACAATGTTTGGGAATCATCTGCTGAAGGGATGGTTGAATGGAAGGGGGTCTGGGAGGATGGATAGGTCACAAACTATAACATCTGATACAGAGAAACAGCAGACATTTAGACTATTCGTTTTTCCTGCCATTCCCGTTATCATCAATTGGAAGGGTATAGAACCAGAGGTGGAAGGAGACTCCCTTTCTTGGGCTACATCTCAGGAAATGGGCTTTTATTGCTTATCTTCTTAATCTCTTTCCTTAGCAGTCAGTCCATCCACATCCCTAGAGGCACACTGTGATAAGCATTTCTGAGCAAAGTAAAGAGACCTTGTTAAAAGCTAAAGGCCTGAGGATTTGTGGGGGCATAGCCTGTGCAGACAGGCCAGATAACTAGCAACCCAAGGCATGGCTAGGGACCCGCACTCTATCTCGGACTTGTCTCAGAGATTTCCCAAGCCAGGTCTCTCCCAGGGTCCTGCCCTAGTTCTGCCTTTGTCTGCTTTTCTGAAAGTAATTAAAAGAAAGAATTCAAGAGCCCAGGAGAACCATGGGGTTGGCAAGTCCAAACCCCTAGGAAGGGCATACACATTCAGGGTCTTTATTCGTCAGTACTTGAGAGCCAAGGGTACATTCACCCAAAGACAAAAAATGTGAACTGCCTGGTCCACAAGTGGGATAAAAGCTGACTGCTATATTAATGACCGTGGTATTTGGAGGACTGTTGTATTGCCCCCTTGGTTTTCATTTTCTGAGGGAGGTCCAGTCAAATGATCAGCAGCTCCCACAGGCTGCCAATTTCCGTCACATTCAGGATCTCTCAGGAACTTGCAAAACCAACTTCCTGGAGATACCAGGAGTGGCCTGTACATTTTCTAACTCTTGAGCTGTGCCTCGCACCAAAGAAACAGAAAAACAGTCTGACCTCATGGAACTCAGCCACCACCCCAGGAGCCAGGAAAAGACAACTTTTTTTTTTTTTTTTTTTGTAAGATCTCACTGGATGGAAAGCAGAAGGAACAATACTATGCTAAGATCTGCAATGAAAAAGTTCCTTCTACAAAAGAAGCCAAACTCCAAAGAGTTCACTATACTGTATGATTTCATTCACAGAAAGTTCAAAATTAGACAAAAGTCTCCCACAGTGTTGAGGGTCAAGGGATGCTTGCTTCTGTGTAGGAAGGATGCAATAATAAATGGAAGAAGCATGAAGGGGGCTTTGGGGATGCTTGATAACATTTTATTTTGATCTGTGTGCTGGGTACATGAGTGGTGTTTATTGGGATACCTGAGTGGCTCAGTCGGTTAAGCATCTACCTTCAGCTTAGGTCATGATCCCAGGGTCCTGGGATTGAGTCCCACATCGGGCTCTTGGCTCAGCGGGGAGCCTGCTTCTCTCTCTGCCTGCAGCTTCTTCTCTCTCTCTTTCTCTCTGACAAATAAATAAATAAAATCTTTAAAAAAAAATAAAATAAAATAAAAAATAAAAAAAGCTCTTTAAACCAAAAAACTCTATTTGCTAACTTACAACCAGAAAACCTACTTATAAGTATGTAGATAGATATTCATTTGGAGGGGACAGGTGGGGGATGAGCTATAACAGAGTGTGGTACTCAAATGAAGCTTCATTCCTTGTGCAAAGAAGTTGTCGGGTGGCCCGGATTCTCTTCAAATGTGGGGACTCAGGAGTTTTCAAAGGGGCTTTAGAAAAGCTCTGTAATTTACCACTGGTCCCCTGAAGGCCCCACTGTGTCTTTGCAGATTAACTATGAGTCACATATGGGTATCAACGAAGCCAGGGACATTAACTGTCCACAGAAAAGACAGTGTTCTAGAATCACAAACCACACCCTTAATCCCCTGCATAGTGCTGGCACAGGGAGGAGTTTGAAAACATTAGCTTTTTCATTCATTTGCCAAAACCTATCACCTACCGGAAAAACAGCTGGGGGCAGGGGTGGTGGAAACCAGAATAAGTAGGTCCTTTTACAAAGGAAAAATCTATTTTTGTGAATTGTAGCTATTTTCTCCTTATCTTAAACTTTAAACCTAATCTCCGGGATTCAAGAAAGGGACAATAGTAGCAAAAGCAATGATATTTAAAAGAATGGAAAAAAGTTTCAGGAAAAGACACCAGACAGAAAGGACTTCAGAAAGAGGCTTCAAAACAAGTCCATTTTAACAATGAGAACACTACAGAGACAGCTATCTGGACCTCATTAATTAATTCACTCATTAAGTATTATGCATCTATCATGTATCAAATATTGTAAACAATAAAAAAAAACTGCAGTAATGTTAATACCTTACTGTCTTATTACAGTTGGCAAAATATTTTAAACAGCGGTAGCTTGATCCAAAAAAGGTATTATTTAGGTATATTAATGACATCAAGATTAAAGCATAATTACTCAACACCAATTCTGACCTTTTCAATAATACAGATCCATACCTACTTCACTGACCTAAATGATTCTCTGCTTGCTAAAATTTCAGCCAGTAAGCCTACTTAGGACTGGCTCCCAGCCCACCATTTAGATTCACATGCCTAAGGCCGGAATTCAGCAAGTTTCAACACAGTAGTTTTCAACCTTGGCTGCACATTAGAACCACCTAGGGAGGTTTTAAAATTCCTAATGCCTAGGCTTTTCCCCAGACTATTTAAATGGGAATTTCTGAGAGTGGGCCCTACCATCAATATTTTCTAAAACACTCCAGATGATTCAAATGTGTAGCCAGGGTGAAGGATAGTTTACAGAAAGTGTAATACACAGATTTCAAATGTACAGTTGGGTGTTTCAACAAACTGCAGATTAACCACTGCATACACCTATCAACACATAGGACATTTCCATCACCCCAGAACATGCTTGTGTGCCCCTTCCCAGTCAATCCTCACTACTCCCCACCCCCAATGGGACAACGACTATTGCAACCACTTTTTAAAACCCTAGATTAGTTTTGTCTATTCTAGAACCTCATATAAATGGTATCCCACAGTTTATACCTGTTGGTGTTTGGCTTCTTTTGCCCAGCATAATGCTTTTGAAGTCCATCCATATTGTTAAGTATCAAGAGTGTGTTCCTTTTTGCTGTATGAAAAAGCTCGATTTGTTTATTCAATGTCTCATTGACAGCTATTTGGGTTATTTCTAAACTTTGGCTATTATGAATAAAGCTGTTATGGACAATCTTCTGTAAGTGTTTTAGAGTATATACATTTTCATTTTCTTTAGGTAAACATCTACGAGTGGGATTTCTGGGTCATTAGGTTGGCTTAGTTTCATGAAAACCTGCTGGACTGATTTACAAAGTGGTTGTTTGAGCAGCAGACCAAGAGCTCTGGTTGCTCCCCAGCCTGACAACATTTAGCCCTGTCAGTCTTTTTAATTTGAGCCACTTTAGTGGGTATGTAGTGATATATCTTCATGGTTTTTAATTCCCATTTCCCTGAGACCATGGATGTTGAGCATTTTCATGTGTGCACTGGCCATTTATAGATCTTCCCTATGAAATAAATGTCTGCACAAGTCTCTGGCCCCTTAAAAAAAAAAAAGCCTTGCCTGTCCTTTTATTATTGAGTGGTAGGGGTTGTTTATGGATTCTTCATAATAGCTATTTGCCAAATAGACATACTGTGAGTGTTTTCTGGGTTTTGGCCAGCCTTTTCATTCTCTTAATGGCACCGATTGGGAAGCAGAAGTTTTAGGTTTTGATGAAGTCCAAGTTATCCATTTTTTCACTATGGTCAGTATTTCCTGGGCCCTAGGAAACCTCTGCCTATCACAAGACTACTCTGCTGCTTTCTCCTGGAATCTCTGTAGTTCAGCTTTTATGCTTAGTTCTGACCTTACTGGAGTGTCACCTAAGGGCTCAGGGTGTTCAGTGAGGACGCTCCATTCTGGATAGATGGGATTCTAATGTCTCCTGGCCTTGGGGGAGCTCTGGAATCTCCATTCTGCTCACAGCAGACAGTGGTGCTTTTTTGCCCAGGCTTACAGAGTCATGCCCTGAGCTCATGCAGCTTGATCTGGTCAAAGACTCAAGATCCTGCCCAGACTACTTCTCTGCTCAGCTCCTGTATGTCTTATACACTCTCAGGTGCGTTCCAGCTCCCTTAGCTGCTCTGAACTTGGATGTTAGTTTCCTCAGCTCATCAAGCCCAAGAACATCTCCTTGGGCTCCTCATGGGCTCTGGCATGGGCCAGAAAGTGTCTCCATGCAATGGGCTGGGACATTCTTTCTTTCCTTTCTGTCTAGGACCACAGTCTTTCCATTGTTCATTGACGGAGAGAGTCGTTTTATGTATTTTACCCAGTTGCATAATTGTTTATGGTAGGAGAGCTGGTCCAAAACCAATTACTCATCAGGGTTGAAAACAGATGTCCAGAGTTGGGTTTTAAAATCTCTGGTGCGGGGGCACCTGGGTGGCTCAGTTGGTTAAGCGACTGCCTTCGGCTCAGGTCATGATCCTGGAGTCCCAGGATCGAGTCCCGCATCGGGCTCCCTGCTCGGCAGGGAGTCTGCTTCTCCCTCTGACCCTCCCCACTCTCATGTGCTCTCTCTCTCTCATTCTCTCTCTGTCAAATAAATAAATAAAATCTTAAAAAAAAAAAAAATCTCTGGTGTGGTTCCACAATCCTACATTTTATTGCCTTGTCTTAAAAAAGAAAAGGTTACTTCAAATAGTTATTTGACTTATTAATGTTTTTTTTTCCTATTCAATTAATTTAACCCTAGGAGTAGACAGGGTATTTGCAGCAGAAAAGTTCTTTCCACGTTCTTGTTCCCTTAGACATGTCTGCAGCCTGGTATGAGGAAGGTGATGAGCAAGTATCTGCTGAAGGAAACGACACCAAACCGAACATACAAAGAAAGCGCCACAAGCCTGGGTAACCCGTAGGTGAAATTATGATGGATTACACCAGGACTTTAATGGATTCTGCACATTATCCATTATTCTTTATAAGGCGGGAAGAGACCTGGCTCCTGGCCTCAAGGACTGAATAACCCAGTAGGGAAAGCAGAGTAGCACAATGTAAACGCCAAGGAGGACGCTTGACCCTGGTGGGCTGATGGTTTCAAGGAAAGGTGAACTTGATCTCAAAGGCCCAACGTGAGTCAGCCCTACCTTTGGCCCTAGCTTCTGCCCTAGGCCCTTCTCTGTCTTCCTGACCTCCATGCTTCAGGCTCCCTATTTCCCCTCAGTTCCACAGAAGTGCTGTGCTGCCTCCTGCTTCAGGCGTTTGCACAGACAGCTCTGCCACCCTTCATCTAGCTGACCCCCACTCACCCTAGGACTTAGCCTCCTCAAGCGAGTCTAGCTCAGGTCAGGCTGCCTGGTAAATGTCCTCACAGCAACTGAGCTCCTACTTCGTGCACTCACTACAATTACAACCGTTTATGGAATGAGTTATTGACCATGTCCCCCCTCTGGACTACAGAAGCTCCATGCAGGGGAGAGGGAACTTTGTCTGTTTTGTACCCAGTCCCTAGCACACAGAGGCCTTAAATATTTAATGAATAAGGAAAGAATAACTGAACAAATAAATAGGGAGGACTGCACTGGATCACAGACCATTTGGACAAGGAAAAATTTCAGGCAACTAGTTAGTAGCAGAGGTCAGCTTCAAAGCCAGGTCTGTCTGGGCCCTGAGGGGAGTTCATAACACTTTCCAGTGACAGACTGGATTATTCTTCCCAACTCTACACTGCCTCTCACTAATAGAATTAAATGTCTTCACCCTTTGCCACATGACTTTGCAGGACCTCCACTAGGAAGGCAGAGTAGACTGTCCAACACCACTTACTTTGGGCTTGGCCCTGTGACTGGCTTTAGCATGGGGATGGAGAATGCTGCACTGTGTCACTGGTGAGCTGAGACTTTTAGAGGTATAATAAGTTTTCACCAATCCTTTCACACTTCCACCTTCTACCGTAAGAAGAACATGACCTAGATGACTGTTGCTCCCTGAACCCAGATCTTAAAACAATGACACACAGCACAGATTGGAACCTGACTTAAAGCCTGGAGTCTAGCCTAGCCCAGCAGCTAAGCTACAGCCAATCTGCAGACCTGTGAGTGTGAGATAAATGCTTATAATAATAAGATACTGAGATGTGAGGATTGTGTGACATGCAATAATGTAGCAGAAACCTAACTAATATGACAGGGTTGTAACATTCTTATTTCTTTTGGCCTCCAGCATCTAGCTGGGGACACAGTGGGTGCTCAATCAATAGTGTTGAATTAGACCCAATAGATGATGTTCCCCTGGATCACTGGTGAAATGGACAAAACCAACAACATTGCTTCTTTTAAAGCAAGAACTAAAATGAATGAATCTAATACTGAGTGATTAAACAGAAAAACCTTGAGAACGGGGGCTTTTTTTTTTTTTTTAGCTAGCGCTGAGAGCCTCTTGTGGCACTTTAACTGTTAGCAGATGCTTTGGAGACATCTAACCTAACTTCTGTCAGATAAACTGATTATGCATGCAAGATGCACATTTTCTTTTGTGGATGACCTAAAAAAAAAAAAAAAAAAAAACCTGGCAAGATTTTGAATCAAATGAGCTGAATGACTTGTCTCTTATTATCTGGTGTTTTTAAAGTAAACAATGCAACTCAGAAATAAGAAGCAGCTCAAGTAAAAAGCTGAATATTTAGCCAGATCTTCCTTCTGCGCAGACTACATTCAATTTAATTTCATAAACCTGTACTAAGTAACTATCAAGTATTCTGGTGATGAAGGAGAAAGAATATCCTATACCTGAGCTATCAAGAATACCTTTGGAATAAGGCAGTATATAAAAATATGCATGCTCCCAAATTCCTCAACTTAGACCCAGATAATGCTTTGCAACTTACAAAAACATTTTTTCATAAATTCTTCGTTTTATTTTCACAATAATAGATGAGAGTTTTGCTTTGTTTTTCAATGCCCATCTCTGCAAATTGGAAACAGAGGCTTGGCCACATCATGAAGTCCCGGGTAGTAAGTGACAAACATCCAACTCTCTTTTACCAATACGACAGGGCCTCATTCCCCAAGAGTAATTGTGGGAAGCTATAGGAGACAAGCTCTGACATCCCCAAACAGCATCAACGTACCACTCCGGGGAATATTTTCTGAAGCCGGTCTGCTGCAGCCAGGGCCTTGGGCTTACCACCTGCGAGGCAATCTTCAAATTCATAGAGAGGCTGCCTCACAGGATTGGAGTAGGAGATATTGGCATTGTCCACAAATGTGATGTGTCTGACGCCCCAACCCTGCATGGAAACAAGAGATCATGGTGTGTTTCTGATGAACATGTCACGGAGTGTCTCTCTTAAAATCCCTAAAAGAGGTTTTGCTTTGGATCAGCTTGGGAACCTCAAATACAGAAAACTTCAGGAAATGCACTGTGCAAATTCAGTTTCTGATCAACAGAGGGTCAACTTCCTTTAAAAGACAAAATAATTATATAGCTGGTGCCTGGTTTTCTGCAGTAATGAGACTAAGAAATGTCAGAGTGGGTCTGACTAATAACTCATTATTTTTGACAGTGGCACCAGAGAAAGATTTGGAGGTGAGTCCCATAAGAATTGTCTATGTTGCTGTCTTAGAAGGATTAGCAATAAGCCCCTAAATGTCCTTGCTTTCCCTTAATGAATAATTAAGTATAAATAATAGCTCACATTAAAACTCACTTAAAGCCTGAATTAACTCCTCAGAAAAATGACTTATGAGTTATTCCCCATTGTATAACGTCAGAGAAGATTTTGTACTACCTCTTCAAGACATAAAGGCCTTATTAATATTCGGTAATGCAGGAGACAATTCTATATTCTCAGAAATAGTTTGCATGATTTCATATACTTCAATTATAACTCCTATAAAGTCTTATAGAACCACACAATTTTAAAGTGAGATGGAATCTCTAACATCCTTAGTCCAATTATTTTGTTCTATAGAGATGGCAAGAGTAGCCTGGAAATCACTTAAGGTCATAGATCTGGTTAATGGTGGGGAAGGAATTAGATCCACAGAGTTGCAACCAAATCAAGATTCCTACTTTTTGGAGGGTGAGGTGCAGGGTGTATTTTAGCAGATCATAAAAAAGCATAGTGATCTAAGAGAAGCCCTGCCGTGATTGGCTACAAAGCTGATTCTGCTCTCTCTCTTATTTCAATATCATTCCATTAGGGACTCAGAAACTCAATTAGCCTGATGGTTCCAAGGGGACAGTCAACAAGAACCCAAGAAGCATGTTCAGGGTTGAGAAGGACAGGCCAGAATCCATCCTTTCAAAAGCATAGTTTAGGTTATCTGTTTTGAAAGCCCACTGGTAAACTTTGGTCTACTCACCTAGTTTTGTAAGTGACTTTTACCAGCAAAGCAATCTACCATGGAGGCAGAATAAAGGTATGAAAAATCTAAAAGTCACTTGTGCTTGGTTTGGGGACATTTATTTCTGAAGTATTTTTACATTCCTTAAAGCAATGCTGAGTGGACAGCAAGGAAGGCAGTCTGGGAAGATGCTGGGCAGTGGGAAGAAAGCCAGGTAAATTACAAACAGGCCATAGGTTAGCCACATGCAGGGGGCATTCGATCTCAACTTTTGGCTTCCTAGAATGCTACACAGTTTAAATGGCTAATCTGCCAAGATTAAAGAAGACTGTAACACTCGATGCTGGTGAGGATGTGGTGATGAAAAGCTATTGTACGGGTTGAGAATGTAAACTGATGTAATTTTTCTGGAAAGCAATTTGGCAATATGTTTCTACAATCTTTCAAATGTTCGTATCTTTTGGCCTAATTGCAGCAATCTATCCTCAGTAAATACTTCCAGCAATCTATCCTAGGAAGTAATCTGAAATATTAACAAAAATGTTCCACAACATAATTTACAGTTGTAAAATATTGGAAACAATATTTTAACAAATATTGTTTTATTTAATAAACAATAAATAAATAAATAAATAAATATTTAATAAAAAGAATAATGCCCACCATTAGGGGAATGTCTCAGAACAGTATATCAGTAGGGGAATGTCTCAGAACAGTATATTTCATCATATAAAAAGGCATATTCTATAGTCATTAAAAACACTTAATAGGCATAATTTTTAATTACATGAGAAAGTGTTTACAATGTTAATAGATAAAAGCATGAGACATTATCATAAATAAGATTTTTAAATATATATTTAACAAACATTAAAGGAAATAAGTGAAAAAGTGGTAGGAAAATGGGTATCTTCTTTTCCTGCTTTATAACTCTGACACTTAACAAATTTTCTACAGGTTTCCACTGCCGTTATAATTTTTAAAAATGTTAAGAAAACCTAAGCACCTAATTCTAGAAGCCAGATAAAGAACAATAAAATAGATTCCACAAAAGAGGAAGATATTAATGAAGATAAAAGTAGATAGTAATGAATCTAAAAGCAAAGCAAAACAAAACTAAAAACTATAGAACTAATAAATAAATCAAGGCCTTAGTCCTCCAAAAAGACTGATAAAATAGACAAGCCTCTCTGGCAAGTCTGAATAAGAGAAAAAAAGAGAAAACATAAACATGCAACCTTAGGAATGAAGAAATATTTTTTAAAAAGATAGAGAGTTTTAAAGATGCTAAGAGAATACCATATGTATTTTGTGTCAATTAATTTTAAATTTAGATGAATAAGAGAAATAAAATTCACAAAAGAAATGAAATTAAAGACTTACTCTCACTAATAAAAGAAATGCAAATTAAAAAGCTCTGTTTTGTACATGTTTCTAAAAGTACAGACTAGTAAAATGTTTTTGGAAGGTAATTTAGCTTGAAAAAAAAACCGCATATAAACATATTGTACATAGTATATATTGTACATATAAGTGCGTGTGTGTGTGTGTGTGTGTGTTTGCATATATATACACATACACACACACATAGTACATTCTCTCTAAAATAATAATTCCACTTTTAGGCCTTTTTTCCTAAAGAAATAACCCTATACATATGTAAAGATATAAAAATGTTCATTTCAACAGCATCTCAAAAAAATATGCTGAAGTTGAAAAAAATTGAGGACACAGTCATACAACAAAATACTACGTATAATTATATGGAACACACAGAGAACCACAATCACTTTTCTATTAAGACTAAAAACCTGTTACAGACAGTATACTATGATCCTATTTTTGTAAACAAATGACAGCAGAGATGACAAATGTCCCTCTCTATGTTCGCATCTGCCTATGAAAACTTCAAGGAATATGATATTGTGTACTAATCTAGGAAGTCTTCTTAATTTTGGGAAATGGGACTTGAGATGGGGGTGGAGAAAGACCTTCTATTTCTACTTTATAATAAAAGTATGAGTTCCTTTTATAGTTAAAAAGATAACTGAGAAAAGAAAAAAGGAAGGGAGAGAGGGAGGGAAGTAGACAGGGAGGGAGGGAAGGGGAATGTGGGAGGTGGAAGGCAATCTGGTACAGCAAAATAAGAAAAGAAGCCACAGCTTCAGAGGTACCTTTGGCCTCCACCAACTTACCATCAATGTCCTAGCTACATTACAACCCAAGGTGCCAGCTCCAAGCAGCAGACACTTCACAGACACAACCTTGTCTAAGTCCAAAGTGGGGACCAATCTCCAACACATCAATTTGAGATTTAAATCCACTGATGACTCAGCTAACCTAGAAAATGACAGAATTATTTATTCATTCAGTCACTCATTTATGCCCCCATCTTATCCTAAAAAGACAGAAAGCATCCGAACAAGAAAATGAGGAACAAATCCTGAGCAAAATGGGATCAAAGGGAAAATAAGATGGAGCTTTAGGGCAATAGGGAGGAGAAATGGCACACAATTTGTGCCAGTGTAGACCATTGCAACTGCTAGTGATAGGCCACAAATGATACTGAGCCCCTAGCAGCCAAGGTGAAAATGCAAACATGACCACTTATAGGAGTCACTGTATCTATAAATAAAAAAACACCAGCTACTTAAGAGGAAAGTTTTCCCTGATACTGAAAACCAAGAAATATTTTCCACATCCCCTCAAAAAAGGGTGCACTTATATCATCCCTTAAATACAATGTTGGTTTCCTTGAAATATTTCTTACAATGTCCTTCAATATAGGGTAATAGGAAAAATTAAAGGGCCATGAATAAAGGACTAAAAGTTAGTAGGTATCTGTACTAACTAGGTTTGAGAGTCTCAGCTCAAAGCAAGAACAAAATTTATAATGTCTAGAAGAGTAGATGAACTGTGTGCCCTTCCGAATCTCCATCGGTGGTATTAGTTCTCACAACCACACTTAAGTCAAGAGTCAGGCAGCGATGAGTGGAGGAACACTCAACAACGTGAACAGCAGCCCCTGCGCTGAGCTGAGCAATGCGGTTGGCCTGACAGAACGTGCTGTGTGTCCTGGTGATAAATGGCCCCAGTGGAGAAAACAGCTTCCAAAATATACCTTTTAGGGTCCATACATTCACTGAGGTTCACCATCCTCGGTCCCATGCCGCCTTTCTGGTTTTTTTCCCATCCAACTGCTTTGGGACAATCTTAAGGCAAATAAAATAGTGAGTTGAACGAAGGAGGGACGAATAAAAACAAGTAAGTAGCAAGATGGACCACACATTAATAAGCTTTCAGTTCACTTCTTTCTCACAGAGGCTCCAGGGCCTGAATTTGCACATACTTGCTAAGTTGCTCGCCATCTTCCTCAACTACCTGCACCCTTGCTGAGAGACCACCGGACCTGAGCACGGTTTTCCTGGAGAGCGGCTTCTGAAATAGCCCTTGACTCTGGCCTGAGTTGCCTCCACTTCCCCAGTTCCTGGCAGCTGCTCAAAATATGACAATCCTCTCTGGGATACAGGTATACAGGTAGAACCCTGTGGAGGGCTCTCTCTCCAAGGAACCCCAGCTAGCGTGACCGCCCTCTTCTGCTGAAGTTCCACCAGGCTTTGAACCTCTGCGTTCAGTTCCTCCTTCCTGTTCTTCATCCTTACCATGTCCCTCTGCTCAGCCTCTCAACACTGTCACTGCGCACCTAGCCTGTCCCTCTGTTAAGCTGCCCTCTCCTTTAAGTTTATCCTTATCCATTCAGACCTTCCCCTTCCCCGACTTCTCTTTTCTTCACTAACCTCTTTTAACCTCTGCTACGGGTGCCTCTGAACTTCCAATTCCAGTTCTGTGCGATGCTCTGAGAGGCTAAGTGTCCCGTGGTTGCTCTATTCTACTATTATGACATCCTCTTAAGTGTCTCACTTGCTTTCTAGAATACTCCTGCTACTTTCTCACCTTAATGGTAATCTGACTTCCTTGGTGGAAACCTGCTAATGGGGGCCTCTCTTACACTCCTCACATCTTAGGACATCTGCCACTCTCCCATTCTCACCAAATACCTGAAATTCACAATAAAGCCTCAACTCCTTATCAGGGAGTTCAGTTGGCCACGACCTATGCTGCTGGCATCCCCTCCAATGTCTGCCTTAAGTAACAGTCTCTGAAGGAACAGAAACTCCCTGACTTAAAAATGTATAGGACTACTGGGAAGAACTGTATGTTTCTCATTTGTATGTTGGTGTTCTTTGGCCATTCTCCTACTTTTAGATTGCTGTCAGCACTTCTGTTTTTCTTTCCTTGGGAACTTTTTAGCTTTTGACCTCTGTTTTTCAAATAGTATTGCACAATATGATTATAGGACCTAGAAGGTGTAGATTTTCCTAATGCAATCTTTCCTTTCTGGGATAGGATGACCAATGGAAAACCTTGGGGTCAGTTATCCTCGAAAGCTATGGCTGGAGACATCATTCACAGCAAGGAGCCAGAACACAAATGTCCCTTCCCATTTTAACTCAGGCACTCTGATGTGGTCCTTTTTTTTTTTTTTAATGTAACAAAAAGTTAAAAATGATATAAAAGATGAGTTCTTACAGCGGTTAAGAGTTCAAAATTCTTTTTTTCTGGGAAAAGGAGTTCAGACATGTTACTAAATTCATATTTTGTTTGTTTTCCTTAAGTATTCTTACATTAAATAAAAAAAACACTTCTCAAATATATAGGCAAAAACTTGAAAGAACTTCAGAACCACAGTCTAGTACTGTAACTAACAACTCTGACCTAAGCTTTCTCCTGTTACAGATAAGAAGTCATAGAACAAAAACAAAATTTCATTTCCAACGAAAACATCTCTGTACTCAAAACGTTACAGCCAATTCTAAGAAAATTAGATATACTTTAAGCTTATTAACAATGAAAAAATGTAATTTATCAATAGTATTTAATCTATCCTATCTGCCTCTATATAAACTACATCCATAAGACATGCCCCAAATTAATAGAAAAATATTTTTTTAGGAGAAAATTAGGTCTTGTTTTCCCACAGCTGAACAAGCAGGAGGAGAACATCAAGGACAGGAATTAAAATGAAGACTGTCCCACTCACAGCAGAGTCTGCTGCCTCCCTCGGCTGGATGCCAGAACACTTTTTGTATCAGCGATGGACAGTGGGCTCTTTGCACCACGAGGAACAAAAGATGATTAAAATTATACTTCTTATGCCATTGTCATTGCAATTATGGGTTGTCTTCAAAATAATAAAAAATACTACCGTATCAATAGCCTTCATTTCATACTATGATATAGAATAACTCTTTACGAAGTTTTATTTAAAGTTTTATTTAGAGCTAAGAGGGAAAACATTAATTTACATGAAAAAAAGAAAATTTGCCTTTCCTAAACTAAATAATCTACACTCACTATCAAGCATAAAGATGTATTGAAGGCATTTATTGGGTGATAGGAAGCATCTTTTCCAAAAGGGAAATGTGCAATGTTTCCAGGCTTTGCCAGCTTCATCAAGCATCAGTGAGATTGTTGGGGCTGTGAAGGAAGAATCATACAATGACTTTATCATAAAGATGGAAACAAAAGTGCCTCCTCTGTAGAAGCTGGCAGGATTAAGTGAGTGAGGAAGTGTGGAAGGCACCGGGTGGCCTGCCAGGCACAGACCAGGCACATATCACTTGCTAGTTAACTCACCCATTCCCCTAGAACTATCTACAATTGTGGCTTAGCATGCAGGTATGGCACCTCAGTTAATAGCACATGGAAGCTATTTTAGAATGTGCCAGAAGAGGGTGCTAAATCAAATGCATGGATCTAAAGACAGCAGGGAAGCAGTGGATTTCTTAGGGCTCTCAACTTAACCTATAGCCTTCTTTGCCTAACCAAGCCAAATCCTCTGTTAATCTCTCCAAGAAATCCATTTAAGACATTAATCAGTGCTGCGGCAAAGAATCACTGATAAAATGCCCTCAGAGCCAATCCTGAAACCTTCTAACTTCACTCTAGAAATGACATCTCAGAAGAGATGCTAACACTGCTTTCCCTAACACACACACACACACACACACACACACACACACACACTCTCTGAGGCATAGGACCCCCAGAAGAAAGAAAGCAATGTGCCTTGGAACAATGCAGATGTGGCGAAGAGCAAATTAAACAATGTGTGTAAAGGTATCCTGGAAAACATGTAAGTCATAGATATCTGAGGGATCATTTTGGAGAGCAGGGCTTTGTGTAAGATAGGAAATTAACATAAATTAGCATTTATTAAATGCCCATAATATACCAGACATTGTACGCTGTCTTTTACCCAGGACACACATTCATCCTAAGGGAGACTCCATGAGGCAGGTTTTATTATCTTTATTTTACTCGAATCTGAGTATGTATTCTATCTTTGTAACATGTATATAAATACATAAATGTATGTTCACACACACACACATCTATAAAATATCTGTGAGCCCAAGTTTCCTAACTTATGAAATGGAGATAACAGCTGATGTCTACCCCACAGGATCTAGTGAAGAATATTAAATGTGGAAGGAGAAATGGCACTTTTGCTGACTGATTTACTATATGGAGAGAAAGATCACACATAACCTTATATAACAAATAAATATGTAAGTGTATTAATATTTTGTTCTTCCTATAAGAAAGATCAGGAATAAAGATTTTATGTGAAACAAAAACTGCGGGGGGTGGGGGGAAGAAATCTCAAGACTGGGGAAAAAAAAAAATGCCTGGAGGAAATTTCCTGAGGACAATCTTTGCCTTTGTTTCTTTCTGAATAGCAGAGTGTGCCCTCTGTTCAAGGGAGGTGTTCCCATGGGCAAAGAGTTAGGAGCTGTACTTTTCTCTACCTTCTGCTGCCATTGTGAAGGGATGAAAGGAAAGTTAAACTTGCTTCAGTTTCTGATAAATGATAATTATATGCATTCTCAAAGACCGGCAAATTACCTGGGCTAAATGCCATTTCTGGAAGCTTCACTTCGAAGATGATGCTGTGGGCAATGTCTCTCACCCCCTGCATGGTGCGGTCCCGGAAGCAGAGGACTTCAACAGACTGGAAACTGCTACTCCTGATGTCAGGCCCCAGGTTTGAATTAATTCATTTTTTTTTTTTTTTTAAGGAAGGAAAAGAAAGAGCTCACATAAGAGCTTCAGCAAAACCAGTTGGACAGTATTCAATTCATAGTTAATTATGCCTCCCTGACACTCTTGGGGCACGGCCTTAACCTCTGAGAGATTTTGAACATGTCCACGTATGCTTTCCTTTGTCCAAATGCTTAGAGACTGAACAATGAATTGGCTGTGATTTCTAAGTGAAGTTTATATAACAATTACACTACAAATAAATAATTCTGACAAATGCATCTTAAATACAGGGGGAAAAAGCTTACAAGACATTAAAAAGAACCGCTAAGACATACCTGGGTTCTCCTGATCCCCCTTCTCCCCTCTGAACTCACATTCTATGAAACAGCACCTCAGTCAGGAGTAGTTAGCAAGCCTGTGTGTACTCTCCAGTCACACTACCTGGATAAGCAAGTGTAACCATTCTCCCTCCAGGGACAATCTATAATTAAGCTACCTTCATTTTTTTAAAGCATTTTTATGTAAGTAAAACAGATATAAAGACAAGTACACAAATCCTAAATATAAAGGAGCTTATCTCATGCCTTCTCGCAGTCACTGGCCACCCCTTTCAAGAGTAACTACTACTCTAATGTCTAAGTCCATTACTGGGTTTTTCCTGTTCTGATCTTTACATGGAAGCAATCAGAGAGGGCATATTCTCTTAAGGGCCAGCTTATTTTCACTCAACATCATGGCATCCGTGTTGACACGTGCATCAGCAGTTCACTCAGATTTACTACGACATCACATTCCATCACAATGAATATACCACAATTTATTAACCATTTCACTGTTGAAGGACATCTGGGTTATTCCCAGTGTTTGATTATAAAGAATAATGCTGCTATAACCATCCCTGCGTATGTGTTTTGCTTATATCTGAGTGCACATTTCTATGCATTATCTACCTGAGAAAGAAACTGTTGAGCCATAGATAGTTTTAACTTTGGCGGATGCTGCCAGTTTTTGAGCAGTTTGAGGGTTCCAACTGATTCACATCTTTGACAACACTTGGTACTGTCATCTTTTTCAAGTCATTTGTAAGCATGTAGTAGTATCTCAGCATGGTACCTCATTACCTCTATTACTGAGTAGAATCTCATTATATTTCATGTCCATGATGACTAATGATGTTGAGCATCTTTTTAAATGTATATTGACCTCTTAGATAACCTGTTTTCATTATTTTAGGGCGAGGAGAAAAGGAAGATGGTAGCAGTAGGAAAATCCTATCTGAGGGTGACCCAGACAGCTGGAGGGAGGGGCTGGAGAATTTCTGGCTTGGGACCTCTGGCTGCTCACCCTGCCCTACTCTGAAATGTCTTTAGTGCAGTATGGTCAGAGTCTGCAGCTCCATAACACACCTGCTTAGGGGCTTACCATTGACGGAAATTGGATTGTGACTGATGAATTGATTTATTATCTGGTTTCTATGCCAGAAATGAAAAAACACATATGGGAAAAAAGAGACACAGACAGAGGCAGACACAATGTCAAAAACAGATCGACAGAGACAGACAGACAGACACAGACACACACATGTAAATACCATCGGTGGGCTGCTAGGACCAAAAGATTCCTCAAAGGCCATCCAGGATGCTGGGCTAAGTTACAGGGATCATATACACCAATTGTTATCTGTGAAGAAAAAAGACTTTCTGAGTGAGTCAAGTATCATGTCAGGTTCACAGTACTGACACTGCTAAGACTTTCTCTTCCTTTTTATGCTATTCTGCAAAAGCATTAACAGTTAGACACTTGATGAAGGGCTAGAGAGAAGAAAGCAAAAGGATCTCACGCCAGACCACAGGACTTCTGGATGGAGGGGCTATCAAATTCTTCTCTGCACCCCCACCATACCTTGCAGTAGGCCTGGCACAGTAGGAACTAGATACATTTAGAAGGAAGAAAGATTGCAAGGAAAATATCGGGGAGGGAAGACAGTCAACTGTCAGGGCTCACACAGAGAACATCCTCTCATATAGAGACACAATCTGTGAAAATTGCTAGCATTTATGTAACGAGAAAATCAAAGAAGGGCCACTACCTGTAAGTCTACAGTCAGATCAAACTAAAAAGTCAGATGATCTTGATATTGCTCATATGTATTTCCTTCCACTCTGGCCCCCTCCAACTCCCTCAGCACTGACTATCTAGAAAACTATTCAACTTCAAATACCATTTCTTCAGTGAAGACTCCCTTTGGTGGGAACAGTCACTCTGTCTGCTGTGATTCCATAGCAATTTGTACATTATACATAACATTTTTTACTTTTTCTTCTTCCTTTCAAAAGACAATGAGCATGCAGCACCCAGATCTTAATTTCTAAATACCATTCTCTAATAAAATGAATCAGGGCTCCTTGAACACATGGCTAATTGTAGGGCTGAGGCAGGGAAAATACAAGATGAGCCTGCAGCAATAAGTGCTCAACAAACAAAGGCTTGGAGCCATGCCAAGGGGACACCAAAACCAAGTGAAACAGCATTCAATGGCCAAGGCTAAAACAATTTGAGCAATGCAAATAAATAACGCAGGATTGGATTAAAACCCAAAGTATAAAATAAATATCTGTGAGTCCATACTGATATAAATAAATAATGGGATAAATAAAAATATGAAGATGAAGAGACCAGTCTTCTTTACAGAAGATTTCCAAACAGTATCCACAGATACTGCCCCTTCCAGGAGTAGAGCTTAATCCTTCTCCTCCTTGAGAGGGGGCTGGACTTAGTGACCCACTCCCAAAGAAAAAACAGTAACTTCACAATGGAGAAATCTGGCAAAGGCTACCATAACCACATGATCAAGTTTAACATCACCAGGGATGCCATGTGAGTATCAGGCACCCCCAATATGATGTGATGACCAGGGCACCTCACCTTTAGTGACATTCCTTCCAAAAACCCATAACCCCAGTCTAATCATAAGAAAACATCAGACAAACCCAAATTAAGGAGAATTCTACCAAAATAACTGTCTAGTACTCTTCAAAACTGTCAAGGTCAAATAAAACAAGGGAAGTCTGAGGAATTGCTACAGACCAGGGGAGACTAAGGAGACATGACAACAAAATGCAATGTAGTCTCCTGGAATGGCTCCTGGAACAGACGGAAGACGTTGTGGGAAAAACTGGTGAAAAGCTGAATAAAGTCTAGAGTTTAGGTAATAGTAATCCACCAATGCTGGTTTCTCAGGTACCATGGTATTGTAAGGGGATAACATTAGAGAAAACCGAAACTGGGTGAGAGTGTATGGGAACCCTCTCTGCACTGTATTTTAAATTTTCCTATAAATCTAAAATTATTCCAAAATAAAAAGTTTATTTAAAAAAAGAGAAGACAATGAGCACCTAGAGAGCAGGGATTATCTTTTTCATCTCCCCATGATCAGTTCATATATACATACCAGACACTTAGTGAATGCATGTTGAATAATGATAAGATGGATGGATGGATGATGGATGAGTGGGTGGATGGGAGGGAAGGAAGAAAGGAGGGAGGGTGAATGGGTTGGTGAGTGAAAGGAGGGAGAGAGGGAGGGAGGGAGGAAAGATGGCTGGGAGAGAACCATAAATCAACCCACAGGTTTCCTTTATAGGTGTAGTTGTGGGTTAAATAAAAACATGGTAGAATTTTGGTTACTCTAGATTCAGTTAGTTCTATAAGAATGGGGCCAGGCCAAACAATTCCATTTATTTTACTAAAATGCTCAGTATAATGTTGGATACAAAGCAGAAGCTTAACCCATACTCAGAGAAAGGAAAGAAAGGAAACAAAAGATAGAAAGGCAGGAGAAAGGCAGGAGAAAGGCAGGCAGGCAGGCAGGCAGGAAGAAAAGTCCTATAAGACCACTATCCAGAGAAAACCAATATTAACACTTTGGTATATAACCTCCCATAACTTGATCTTTGCATAAATATATTTTTATCACAACTTTTATACAATTATATAATTTTAGTACAATTTTTATTACTCATCGAAAATGAGATGCTATACTGTTTTATATCTCTTATTCTATCATGAACTCTCTTCCATGCCAATAAATGTCTTTCTACAACCACTGTCAGTAGTGGCTGAATGGCATTCCATTGTACTGATGCACCATAACTTTTTTCTATTTCCTATTGAAGGACAATTAATTAGCCTTCATCTGTGCTCAATACAAACCTCTGAAAATGAATTTTACTCTAGTCTTATCAGATAATTATTGCTTATTCCAAGGATATTCTTTTTTTGCTACCTTCTCTATGTGAAATTTTCTTATTCCTAACACCAATGCTTTTTGTCTAGATGCATTTCATGTCTTTGATGCAAACAGACAGATTCATATTTAATTCAATACAGATTCAAACATATAACCATCCTTTCAGGAAACACACAATATCTTTATTTGAGATTTCCTTTCCCATGGGAGATGAAACACCAGCATCCAAGAAGCTTTTAAAAATAGAGTTTGCAGAGACTATTCTGAGTACTGCCCCTTACTACATGAGTGGCCTAGGGCAAATTAGTCAAATCCTTTAGGCCTCAGCTTTTTTTGGCGGGGGGGGGGGG